AAGACAACACTATATACTGTTTGCACAGCCATTTGAAAACTACAGTAAAGTTGGACATTACTGCATTTAGTGAGGTATCTGAGTACAAGACACTGAATATGGATGTTTCACATTTTTACTCTGCATTTGCTCTTTACAATCCTAATTTATTCACAGCATTGTGCAAAAGAATAAACACACCCTTATTTACAACAAACATAAACTCCCTTTGGGTTGAAGTGTGCACAACTGTAAACAATATTGCAGAACATATTGGACCTGGACCTGCAACATACACAGGTCTGTAAATCATTCATGAAATTGTTCAATTTTAAAGACATTTTCAGGAAAATAAAGTTTTAATTTTTTTTTTTAATAAAGTTTGCTTGACCGATTTTGACATCAAGTTCAACATTTTTGTATGTGATGACTTAAGTATTAAAATGAGGACTGTTAATTTTATATGGAATGACTATTCAGCATTCACAAGTTTAGTTCATTTTGACTGACTTGACATAAGCAAATGTTAATGTTATAAATAGCAGAGAGTTGATTGAAAGCAATTGATGCATGTCCAAAAGCATTCACAATTTGTTGAAAGGAATGAGAAACTGCTACTAGAATGTGCACAAATGACTAATTATTTTGAGAAATGCATTACCTGTTGTGCAAATGTAAATAGTGTGACTGAGAAAAACTGTAATATGGTAAATATACTGTTGCGCAGTGCAAACTTCATCACTGACAAGTGAAAGGTGACATATTTTGGGTGATCTATCACTTTGGGATAGTGATTTGGACAAATTAGGTACAAATGTTTACTGTTTGAAAAGCCCTGCCACCGTGACATCTTTTATTCCTTTATTTCTGAGAGTAGGAATGTCCACACTATGACAATTCCATAGGAGGCACATTCAGTTTTTGTAGAATTCCTTCCAGAGTGATTTGAATTTTCCCAGCTTATAAATGATACCAATTTATTTGTTGTAAAAAGGTATGTTTTTAAAAACCTTTTGTAATTGCCTTAATATATTATGATTTTCTTTTTATACCCGTAGCCTACAAGTGGACGTATGTTGTGTATATTATCTGGCCATTATCCAAAAGAACAGGGAGGAGATAAACAGCATGAAGGATCACTGAGAACTAAATCATCCTCAATGGGGAAAACTATATCTCTAGCTTTGAAGGTGGATGATAAATTGCATTGTGAGAAAGGTACACGTGCACTAGCCAAGAAAGACCCATGCCTGCAACGCCCCTGAATGTTACCAAAAAAGTATACCAATTTAAAGTATACATTTTAATATATTTTCATTTAGGGAAGATTTTAAACTGCATCTGGATGTAGGGGGAGGTAGATCATGCAACTTAATGGAGCTGAATTTAGACAAAGCTTCATTTGAAACTCAAAAACTTCTGAACGACCATTGACTATAATCGTTATGCAGCTGCAAATCAATGGCTCTTAGCTTAACACTCTTATTGGGGGGTTGGATGCAAAAAGTAAAAGTGGAATTTATGACATCGGATCCTGTTAGAGAGGTGTTCTAAAATGAGCTAAACTATACATTGGTGATCTGTAATAATTTAAAATAATACAAAATATTATCCAGCTTGTTGATATAAATGTAAAAAATGACTAGCCTCTTTTTACCCGGTAAAAAAAGGATGTTTTATATCTTGATATTTAAAGATTGTTTTCTAAAATTATCATAAGTTTACTATTTTCCTATTTCCATGAAGGCTGTACACATCCAGGATGCAACAGTTGTCTTAACGCTCAATTTTGATCCTCAAGCTATAAAATATTACCAAAAACATCAGACACACACTAATGCAATACTGCACATTGGTCAGGGAAAACCCCATTCACTTGGTTTGTGATAAATTATGACAAACAAAATTGTTTTTATTAAATTATTAGTAATTAAAAGTTATCATAAGTTATTAAAAGTTTAATTTAGTTTTTTTTTTAAAGCTTAGGGAATGTGGGTCATTTTTGACCAGTAGGACAAACAGAATATACAGAACTCTAAGAACATACAAGGATTAAAGTTAAATACTTGGAAAGTAATACTTAAAGATTTCATTGTCCAAACTTCCAAGCAAAATGCAGTGGAGTAAACATTACAGCTATAGGGTTTTTCCATCAAATACGTTTTTCACTCAAATTGTGTCGGTGGGAATTTTGGCTCTGAAACAAAACTAGAGACACTGCCTCGTTGCTCGTATTGCCATTTTGAGATGCTCCAGTGTATTCCCAGGCACTAAAGGAAGCGTCTGATTCTCCTAAGTGGGTGGCTCGGAGGCTTTGGGAATCTAGGAACTTGGGGAACTGCCACAGCCGCCTCCCAAAGGAACTATCCAACCACCAGCACTGAGACACATCCATCACTCTGCCACGAATCTGTGGTGTGGCCTTGTCAGACACTGTGGCCGCCATGTTTGCTGCTGTTCAGGCTGCTGTGTGCTGGCTCACTGCTAAATTCTGCCTCCAGCTCTGCTTACACCTTTCAACCTTTCAGGACTCACCTTCAGTCCTTAAATACATGTTTTCCTAACAGTTAAGACTGTCAGAGGAAATAATGTGGCGCCTTGAGGGCTAAATGCAATTAGGTTATTTTATGAACTTTGGTCACTAGAAGTCCCCTTGACTTGATGCAATTTCTGCTTCCTTTAATAGACTGTGTGTCGAACAGCTGGCTCTTATCACAGGCGCATGGTCAAGGTTGTCACCTCCTGACCTCCAAATTTAACCTGATTTTCTATCACTCAACCACACACCCTGCACATTTACAACAAGCAACATTATACTGCTTTTATGACTTTAAAACCAGCAAGACTAATAACATAAAAAACACTATAGTAATTTATAGTAAATATAATATTCATAATGCAAGCATTATAATGTTTATGAACCACACTTAAAAACATGAATTAATTCGCTGTGGTAATTCTATTGTTACTTTGCTAATACAAGAACTAATCAATCTAAAAAAAATAATGATGGGTTGTTTTAACCCAATGTTAGGTCAAATATAGATAAACTCAACTGTTGGGGTAAAGTTTTTAATGAATTCAAATAACACCTTTAAATCCAATTGATGGATTTGTTGAAACAACCCAATGTTTTAAAGTGTAGTAATATAAGCAAATTACTCAATACTAAATTTTATGAACTATAATGTTACAATCGACTGTAGTAAAATCTTAATATTTATACTTAGTCAATTGTATTTATTGTACTATAGAGTATTTATTAAAGTTTATCAGTTCACCTTGGTTAATAATACAGTATGCTGGATCATTCATTAACAAAGTGTTGTAAATACTATAATCTATACAGTATAATAATAAAAAAAATGGTTACTAGTATCCATACACTAAGATCCATCTGATCCAATGGCTTTAAAAAAACTTTAATGTTAAGAAATATATTTCTTATGGGTTTTTACTTGGCTTGATCAAAATAGATTTTGAGTAAAACTAAGTCTGATGTATCAAAAAAATGTCAATGTATATATATATATATATATATATATATATATATATATATATATATATATATATATATATATATATATATATATATATATATATATATATATATATATATATTTTGATTAAGCCAATTGCTGTTTATGTGTAATCAAGTATAGAGGGCATGACAAATTGTGTCACCAGGATAGTACACACATAGTGCCAGACTTTTGTATCCAGAGCTCACACATGTATATTAAATTGTTTTTGCACTACTCTGTTGTTTTTCTACCTTATTCTTGTGGACAAACAAATAAATGATTGCAAAACCTATTTAAAAAAGAATACTGCATGTACAATAATGTTAATGTATGTAATATCAGGGTAAAAAAGGGGTGTTTGACCTCTATAATTACAGGTCAAATCCCTCAAAGTAAGTTAAAGCACATAAAAATAGTAAAATACAACTTTGTTCATGTTTCAGTTTACTTTCAAACAACCACAAAATTAGATTATTAAGCAGATCAAACTGAAAAAGATGCTGACAGACAGAAGGTTTACTTGGTGTCAGTAGATGCTTGGATACTTTATAGTATGATCAGTTTATGGTGATTTATGAAAATAAATAGATATACATATAACTTTTAGGCTATATCAAATGCATGTTGTAGGGTATCTTTGGGTGATAGGACATTGCACATTGTGACAATTGTAACAATGAAAAATGAGCCATATTAACCCACTCCGTCTTGAATAGTCAGGTAAAAAAAATAAAAAGTAAACTGAAAATATTTACAAAATATTGCAATAAGACCAGTGAGATGTTCACTTTTTAAGATTTCACTCTTGCTTGTTTCTGATTAAAGAAATAATAAAAACACATAAAAACAAGTTGTAAAAAAGTTTCTGACAGTTTTTAAATTATTCGTTGTTTCATTTGTCGTAAGCGTCCCGAGGGAGCCTACCGAAAAGCGTCATTACGCATCATTGGTGCATTGCATCACCGTCAGTTTTACGGCTGCAGTTGGATTGCGCGCAATATCTGTTCTGCTCTGCTTTTTTTCAGGCTGTCTAGATGGCTTTTAGTTAGCATATAGCCCTGGTAGAGTGTCATAATAAATAAAATATATTGTTTAGGTTAACTGTAATTAAGAAAATATTAAATATTAGAGAATTAACAGCTGATTAGCTGCACGTGTCCATCAGCAATTTATATCAATAATCATAAACAATGCACACCAATTGTATTCTAGTTTAAAATATCTTTAAATAGTTTGACTAGTTTTACTGTAGAGTTGCCTCTTAGATATATGGGCAGAGAATCAAATAGAAACCTTTTGGAAAAAAAGCACGTGCAGGTATAGCAAACTCTAATGGCTGAAATCCATCCATTCATCCATCAAATTCATACCCGTTATGAATATTTAAACATTTATAATGTACTATATATTTTACCATAATGCAATTAATTACAATATTTAATTGATGCAAATATAATACTTAAAGTGGCAACATAATCAGTTATAGAGTGATCATACCTTGGAGCAGCTCTTTGGAGATGTCCCGTTAGTTGAACAGGGATGCTGTCCGACGAGGGTCTGCACTCTCCAGACACTCTACAAACCTTCCCATACAAGTTTTGGGGGAAAGTATAGAGGAGACCGGCATGGAGCATCTAAAAACTCCTTGTTTTGAATTGCAAAAATGTACAGTATCCACGTTTTCCACATAACATCTCGCCTCGTCCAAAACATTATTTAAAGTTTGCATCAGTTTGCTGTCGTGATGAGGTCTGCGTGAACATTTTGGAAGTTCATTCTGAAGTTGTCAGCTAATTTAAGAAAAGAAAAAAAATGACTTTAAACGTTTTTTTCTTCTTTATCTTTAAAAAAGTCATCCAACAGTAGTCAATGTTGGTGAATCAAGCTGTAATTCATTCAAGTTTTTTTTTTCCCCAAGCGCACAGGTTGAAGTAGTGGACTTGTCTTTTTCTGCGCCTAATTTCTTCCAGACGCTTTAAGTTTATGTTTCCTGTAAGCCTTACATTCGCAGGACTCTTTTTAACCGGGCAGGGTTTTAGACTTGTTTTAAGGGGGTTGGTTTGGGGGCGAGGAGGAGCGAACAACATCTAAGAAAAAAAAGTGCTGCCCCTTCAAATTTCCGAAATGGGGGGTGGGTATATTTATCAAGCAATTAGCCAAACATTCTTCAGCTGGGCAACCTTGACTTAAAGATATATTATTAAAAAGTAAAAAAACGAAATTAGCCTATTTATGAAAATTAGTTTTATTAGTAAATAATTACTAAATATAATTAATAATTTAGCATTAATTTGTACAATTACAGGTGCACACTTTTTAAAATGTATTATTCTTATTTTATTTTTATTATTTTCAACCTAAATTAAGTTTTAATCAGTGGATATTTTGTGAATTGTAAATTCAATACCGTTATTACACCTTTTAATGTTCACTGATGTGAGATGCGCTTGTAATTTTGTGATCTGGCAGCGCAACACAAATATTTAACACTAGAGTGCGCCACACAATTCTAAATCTGTCCAAATTGCAGCAGTGAAAGTTGGCCTGTTCCAATTTCCTAATGTAGGCTTTCTTTCAATTTGCAAGGTGATCGATATACTTTCCCACTATACCATAACAAAACTACATGAACAGAAAGCATAATGATTCTTAAAAATTCATTGTCATAATTTAACATTGTTTTATATGTTCACTGTAGATTTATTTACCAGCATGAGTCCTGATAACATCTCAACCAATTGTTAAAGACTTAACCATTTTGTTTACATAATGCCAGTGTAATTTTATTATGAAACACTAATAAAATGTATGTTTTTCATAAAGGCTAAGATTATTTATTTTTTACAATCTTAGAAAAGTCAAGACAACCAACAAACAGCAGTTTTGATTATTTTTCTTTATTTATTTGCTTTATAAAAAAACAAATCAAAACTATCACTCACACAGAAACAAAACTAACTTTGATATCCATATAAACAGAAATGTTTACATTTATTGAAAGAATAATGACAGAAATTTATTTTATTTGATTAAAAAAACAAGGAAAAAATGAAAAAAAAAAAGTTCAAACCATTCATTCATTTTCTTTAGGCTTAATCCTTTTATTCATCAGGGGTTGCCACAGCGGAATGAACCACCAACTTATCTAGCATTTGTTTTACACAGCAGATGCCATTGCAGCTGCGACCTAGTATTGGGAAACATCCTTACACACTCATTCACACATACATTATGGCCAATATAGTTAATCCAATTCACCTATATCGCATGTCTGCACTGTGGGGGAAATCTGAGGGCCTGGAGGAAACCCACGTGAACAAGGGAAGAACATGCAAACTCCACACAGAAATGCCAACTGGCCAAGCCAGGACTCGAGCCAGTGACTTTCTTGCTGTGAGGCATCAGTGCTCACCACTGAGCCATTGTGTCGCCCTCAACTAACAATAACAATCAAATTATTTTTATTCTTAATATACTTGATTTTTCCCCAGTGCTGAAAGGGCATCGGCTACGTAAGACATATGCCAGAGAAATTGGTGGTTCATTTCGCTGTGGCAACCCCTGATTATTAAAGGGACTAAGCTGAAAAGAAAATGAATGAAATAATGAATAAATAAACTATTGTTACATTTAATTACTTTTTAGGACATATGTGTTGAAAATAATTAGTCATTACTTTTGCTAAAAAAGTAGTTGCTTAAAACCCATTGCATAATCTTACACTCACCAAAACCCCACCGCTCCTGAAAATTCCAGATTTCTTCATTATTTGTTTATGTCCGCTTTGCTTCTTTCAGCCATGTCCCTGCTAGGTTCAAAAGAGCTTTTCTACCCAGCAGGGACAGCACGTGGACTGGCTTTGGTAACAGTCCATTGATGTGAAAAGGCAGTTTCTTATGTGTTAATTTGGCCCACTGTTTATTTGAGCAAGAATTGAACCAAACAAGCATCCGGGTGAGGAAAGAGGAAGGAGAATGGCAGCCACTCTATGGTTTTCTATAGACTGACCTCCCACCAAAGCATGGCAAACATGAGGATGCTGTTCTTCCAAAAGACTGCTGAGGTGCTGAAGGACGGAGGCTAATGAGTCCCGGCTTCACAGTTGGGGTTTCTTTGACCCTTTACTGACTTTGAGGAAGAGCTACCACATGCTTTGCTGAGTCATTTAAAAACGCTTCGACTGCTGGTGTCTAGTACAGTACGGCATTGTGTTGCATACGTATGGATCTCATCCTGTCAGACACCCCAAACTTCACCTGGGGGCTCGAGCCTCTTATGCAGGGTTAGAAATCGGAGATAGCTCACTTTATAATATTAGTCGCACAGACGTTCGTGGTCGTTCTTGATTTCACTTGGAACAATAGCATCATTGAGAGGCCATGTGCAACTGATTTTGCGTTTTGTTTAGATCAAAGACACTGATATTGTTATTGTTTTCTGTGTGGTTAGATGAAGAACATGAGGAAACGGGTTTAGATGGCACTGCTGGTCATTTAAAATGATGAATACGACACCGATTTGTTTATGAGCATGACAATTTTTTTTTCATTTAAATGACTGGATGGTATTTTGTTAATTAATAAATTAAGTTTCAGCGTGCAAATATGTTGTTCGGTGCTGCGGGAAAGGGTGAGATAAAATGATTAGACATTAATTAAACACATGGTTGCTCTGTATTTAAAACTTCTGTACATAGACTCTCAGAAATAAAGGTACAAAGCCTGTCACTGGGATGGGACCTTTTCAAAAGGTACATTTTTGTTCTTAACCAGTCATTAAAGCAGTGGCGGTTCTAGCTTAAATGGCACCCTGGGCGAATTATCCCATATACGCCCCTTAACACCTCCACCCACAATCCCCCTCCCTAGTTATAAAAAAAACGGCCATTTAACATGTACTTTAAAAAAATGTTGTTTTAACCCAAAATTAACCCCAAAATTAACCCCAAAATTAACCCCCCCCCCCCATTTATTCATTTTCTTTTCGGCTTAGTTCCTTTAAAAATCTGAGGTTGCTACTGCGGATTTTACTGCCAACTTATCCAGCATATGTTTTACACAGCGGACGCCCTACCAACTGCAACCCATCACTGGGAAACATCCATACACACTCATTTACACACATACACTACGGAAAATTTAGCTCACCTTAGCTCTGCCACATCTTTGGACTTGTGGAGGAAATCCTCACTAATACAGGGAGAACATGCAAACTCCAAACTGAAATATCAACTGACCCAGCCGCAGGGCTTGATTGTGAGGTGATTATGCTACCCAATGCACCGCCGTGCTGCCTAATATGTATATTTATTATCAACAAAATTATTATTAATATTATTTAATGGTTATTCTAAATAAATAACAGAAAACAATCCTAAATATAACTGGAAAACAATGTAAAGACAAAACAGGAGTGATATGCTCACTTAAGAAATATTTTGCATGAAAATTAATTATGACGATTCTGTAGAATACAAATATATATGTTTTATTGAATTATCTCTTCATCTTAGACCCGAATCAAGACGGAGAATTATTGTTAAGTCTTACCTCCCTGACTCTATCCCTCCTTTCTGCTTCATAGCCATGCTTAGTCAAAATAAGATCATCATCATATTATAAACTTCAGTTTTGTCAACTTGGAAAACTTGCTGCATGTCGACACCTTGTGTCACAAAAGTAACAAAAAAGGCCTTTACTTTGGTTTCATAGCACTTGAACGACACATTTTATTGGCATGCTGCGTGCATTTCAAGAGCAGGAGCAGCAAGTGTGAGGCACGCAGGAATTGTGTGCGCATGTGTCAGTTTGCTTTTCACCAGCGTTGTTTCAGTTGTACATAGAGAAAAACAAACTTGCGCGTGCAAAAGACGGCAAATGTGAATGGCCCCTAACATCTTTTTTTCAGGATTGCCACTCTAAATTTATATATTTGCAATTTGCATGTTTTTTTTTTTTTTTTGCACTGTCTCCCCGTGCCGCCCCCAGAAAGATGCCGCCCTGGGCAATCGCCCATATTGCCCATGCTTAAACCCGCCTCTTCATTAAAGGTATATATCAATACCTAAAAAGTACACATGTATACCTCTCAGTAACTTAAAAGTACGAAAGTGAATGTTAAAGATATACAAGTGTACCCTAAAGGTACTAATGTCCACATGTACAATACAAAAGTGTGCTTTTTGAAAAGATACCACCTCAGTAAAAGATTTTGTACCTTTATTTCTGAGAGTGTAAAGGTCATCTTTTGATCATCTATTCAAACTGACTGAGCAATCAACTGACCCACCCTCCTCCTTCCCTAAACCCAACCAATAGTGTTTTCAAAAGCACCTGCCCATTCCCTTCCCTAAACCTAACCGTCAGTTTTAAAAAGCAATCCAGAAAAAGAAAAGCCCTCACCCGATTTTGACCACGTTTGCAGATTTAACCACATTCTCTTCATGTTATTTAGTTGTTTATTTTGTTTTTTGACTTTTATTTTGTCTTACTTGCTTTCTGGATCTGTTTTTCGATAGACTCGAACCATGTCATTGTGGTCAACTCCTAACTAAAAAAACTGGTAACAGTGGGAAAACCGTCCATACGAAGGTAAGCATTCAGCTAGTAAGCACGAAAATTAATACCATCAGAAATGACAGCACCATTGTGCTTCCAGACATTATTAACTGAGGATGTGATTCTCGTTTTTAGCAACAAATGCTTATGCATGTGCGTCCACTACATAATGGACGTCCATTGTGCTAAAGGCTTCCATAGAACTAACTATTTCACAAGCCTGTTATGACGTGTTTAACGGTCATCATAATCTTAAATCTTTGAAAGTTTTCAATATTTCGATAAAAAAAAAACATGAACATTTATATGCATTTATGAATGTATTATATTATCTTTGCGTCAAATTACATAAAATGAATTACCGTTGAGGTGTTTTTAATGCAGCGTATATGGGGTTGATAGTAAATTTTCTTTCAATATTCTTTCTTCTGTCTGCTGTTATCAGTCTCACACATTTTATTTTA